AGAAAGAGTATAAATAAGGACTTGCTAGACCTAAAGAAGACAAGCATTCACAACAAGAAGATCTTGAGTGCATAATAAAGGTTTAGGATTTTGAGAGTCTTTTGTGTGTGACTTTGTAAGTCACCCTTTGTATCTTTTGATGCATCATGGTAGACATATTTAGGTTGTAAGTCGTTAATTGTAAATTGTTCACTCAAAGCTTGTAAGCAAGAGTGTATTGTTCTTGATTGAAGCTGTTAAGCAAGATCAAGTATTGTCTTGGAAGAGTGTCTTCTAAAGTTTTATTAATTTGTTGTTATCACTGCTATGATTGAGGGGGAGTGAGAGGGGTCTCATATCTAGGAGTGTCCTAGGTAGAATTTGCACTGAGTAGGGATTAAGTGAGGGGTTGTAAACGGGGGAGTTTAGCTCTGAATTGATACTACTGATAGTGGATTTCCTTTCTGGCTTGGTAGCCCCCAGATGTAGGTGATGTTGCATCGAACTGGGTTAACAATTCATTGTGTTATTTATCTTTCTGCATTTAATATTCTGCTCAATTTAAATGGTTAGATAAATTGTTTTGTCAGTCTGCAGATGTTACAACATATGTCATGACATTGTTACTTCTTAAAGTATATCAAAATGCTCGTGTTCTGTCCTTGTTCTATTTTAAGCAGAGCTCAATGTCTCTACATATGTCTAGGACATCTGAAATCTGCATACCATAATTTCAATTGGTATTAGAGCAGGCATCATGTCTGTTCTGGATGAGATCTTGGGACATACTTTCTGGTGTTTTAAACAAGGAGCAGTTGTAGCTGATTTGCTGATCTTGCAAAATGTTTGGGCTACTGATGGGTTCTTGAGGAGTTGTTGCTTATGGAGTTAAGGGGGAGTGTGTGTTTACTCCTGCTTTTGAAGGATTAGGTGTTTCTGCTGTTGTGCTCTCTGATATAGGAGCTTCTGTGACCTGTTGAATGTTTCTGCCAAAGGAGGAGTTAGAGAGATCAGATCATCCATTCTGGTATACTCAAGGGTATTGATGGATGAGGTCAGTGTTCTGGATCGCGAGGAACAACTCTGATGATTGTTCAAGGTTTCTGAGGAGTATCTACAAAAACTGCAGGAGGAATGGCTACTTCTTCTGTATGATGTCCTATAAGATATTCGGATACCTTGTTTAGGGCATGCTAAAGATGTTCTTTTGGTGGTTCCGCTGCATATTTTTCTGATGGAAGAACTCTGGTAGTCCTGAAAGAAGATTGGCATGTCTACTATATACAGTTTGATATATGGTTGTGGCAGGTGTGTAGATGGTTGGAAGATGGTGTCTACTGCTGCTCTGTTCGGTCTGACAGGATGTTGATCCTGCTGGATGCTGTTTTGTTTGGGCTGTTGCTGATTTTTGTTCTACGGGTTGTTGAATGATGTAGCTATGTTGTTTGTGTGTCTGGGTTGTTGCTTGTGTGCTTGGGTTGTTCTGTTGTGTATTACAAGTTGCTGAAGGCTATTTTAGAGAAGATAGTGGAAGGTGATTTATTTTCACCACTCATGACTTGCAAGGGTTCTATCAACAGAGGATGTCATAGGCCGGTTGAGTCAAGGGTGTCAGCCTTGATGTTTCAACATTAAGGATCTGATATTCAACCAAATTTTGAGTAGAGATTCTGCAAAATCTTGTTGATTCAAAGAGTGATGTAGATGATGATCTTGGTACCATTTACATGTGTGTTCGCATTCTTCCTCAGCTTGGACCTACAGAGGCACTCAATTTGTCTAGAAAGTTTCCTAGCAAGGAACTTGTCTAAAAATTGGTGTTAAGGGAATTAAAGATGAAGATTTCATCATTTTGTTGAATTGACCTTGGATCAGTTTATTTCTGATCTAGGTGAAATGGAGAGCAGTAGGTGTCAAGGATAAGTGGAGGTTATCTTTGACTTTCTGAAGAAGTCTCTACTTAAGGAAAGCGTGATTCCTTTTGTAAAGATCTTTTGTGACCCATCCTCTCTGAAGAATCAAGCTTTGGCATGTTTGAGTTCTCTAAAGAGAAGGTTCTGAAGCAAATGCATTTCAAGGGATTTATTGTGGTACAATAAAGCAGAATACAGTTTGCAGGAGCTGCAAGAAGGAATAGATGTTGCAGGTCAAAGTCTTGATGTATCTAAAATGCCTTGCTATGGAGCAAGTAGGAGATGTAACTTGAAGATCAAGTTTGCTTGGTGGATCAGAAGATTTTCTAGAAAGAAGTTGTGTTAACCAAACAGTGGCATTTGGTTATTTAAGAAGTATGCTTGAAGAAAATTACTCTTGTGCAGAAGGGTAGTTGTTTGAAGACCAAAGGAGGTTCTGGCTCTGTTCATGTCTTGGAGCTTATGAAGGATGAGTGCCTTCTTTTGGGAGAAGTATGAGATTTTAATTCCCTCTATGGTATTTGGATTTCTCGTTGGTGAAATTATGCTCTCTGATGATCTTCAGATTGGATTACTATTCAGATAGTAAGTCCAAGTGGTTATTGTATCAAGAACCATAATGTATGGTGTCTGTTATATAATTAGGATGCCCTAACTAATGTTAGAACATCATATTGTCTGCTGAACCTGGGGTTCAGATTGTGGAAGCTGATATTGATGAGGTAAAGACTGTCTTGGATTATGAGGTGTTTATCTTGTTCTCTGACTCAGGGTAAGGCCAGAATACTTGTGGAGAAGTGGTTTCTTCTACTACAAGTAACTCTAGAAAGAAGTGGATCAGTTTGGTGCCTTCTCACTGTATGAGCATGAAGTTGGTCATGAGATATAAATGGTGAACTTGACAATGTATTTTTTTGGTTCTGTCATTGGGTGTCAATGGATCGAATCAGATTTGTACAAGCTTATTGGGAGTAATATAAAGGAGAGAGCATTATGATCTGGCTTCCACTGAAAGGATTTTCGATCAGCAGATTTTTGGACCTCTATCCAAGTGTTTTATCTTGTATTTGTATGACTGGTGAAGATGAAGATCAAGACACCATCAGCTTTGATTTTATGCATATAGAAGGACATTCACCCTGACATCTTGGAGATTTTTCTAGTCTTTCAAAGCTGAATCTGAGTGATCCTGCAGATAGTTATCCTGCGACTACTTTTGCTATTAGGGGGAGGGTTGATTATGCATGACAGGGGGAGCTGTGTACCTGTCTGATGTGTAGCTGCATTGTTGTAGCCTGTACAAAGTTTGTTGATTCTCGGGAAAGCTTGTATTCTTGGACCACTGGTGAGGTCGTAATGTCAGACAAGATGTCTTGACATTATGCTGTCTGGTGTACCTTTCTACCTTGATAATGTGACTATGGGTCTGGCTTTGTGAGGTTGTTGGTTTGAATTAGAACTGTGCTCACTTCTTATGAATTACCTAGGAAACAACATTGGTTATTGTCTGTGAGAATTTATTCTTCTCTGCAGAATATTTGTGTGTCTCAAATTGGGGATTTAAAATCAATTGTTTTGTGGCCTTAGTAAGTAATTAATTGATTATCCTTTTTTTTGGCATGTCAAAGGTGTCACTCCTGAAGGTGCAGCTTCAAACAGGGCAATAACTCAAGATTCAATGACTATGTTCATGGGGTAAAGCTATGTGGAGTTTATACTATGGAGGGTTTTTCTTATTATGGTGAAGCATGGTGTATGATTGCCTGTCATGAAAATGGCCATGGTGAAGAATCGTTTTGTCCTGGCTATTGATGGTCTTGTGGAAAAGGATAGTAGGTAGAAAGTAAAAGGAGAAGTAGTTTATGTTCATGACTTGGTGATTGTAGTCTGACTGATTGATGAAGGAATCATTTCTTAAGGTGCTTAAGAATAACTATTGTATTTGTAATGTCAGATAGGATGTCTGAACCTTATGTCTCTGAGGAAGCTCATGAGAGTTTATTTCTCTCTATGATTTTCTGGTGTTTGTGAAGCTGTTGTTGTGTCTTTCTGAGACCTTCATGTGTATCTTAATGAAATGTATTGAATACTATGGAAATAATAAGTCCTGTGGTTGGTGTCTTAAGAACCAAGGTGAGTGATAAAGGAGTTGATGTCATACTTGATGGCTTGGAATTAGGATTATGATGCTTGATAATCACAATTCAGAAGTGTTTTATCTAATCATGCTGGAGTATGATATGGAGGTAGAGGTCAAGACTACTCTGGATTATGGTGTAAAGTAGTCAATGTGCTAGTTCATTCACTACAAGAAAAACGATGGATTGCGACGGTTATTTTGGCAGATTACGACGGTTAAAACCACCATCAATTACATTCTACGACGGTCGTAGTACCGTCACAGAAACGTGTGTCCCCAGGCTGTTTAGCGACGGTTGCCAAAACCGTCACACCAACTGTCGTTATATTTCACGACGGGCTGGAACTGACCTAAATTGGAGATGGCGACGGTTAAAGACCGTCGTTACTAACCTTTTGATTTTTGTTTTCATTGTTGATTGTGATGCTTTAAAACTGTCGTGAAATACTGTTTATTTTGGCAGGTTACGACGGTTTGAACCGCCAAAATTTGCATGATGGTTTCCCGTGAAATTTCATTTTTATATTCATTATTATTATTGATTGTGACGGTAAATTGTGGCAGTTTGAACCGAGTGAATATTTATTATAAAAAAATTTACCCTCAATATTTTAGCATTATTATAAAAAGATAATAAAAAAATAAATAAATAAATGATGTAATCTTGTGTGTATTTGTATTCTGTCTCTGTTTGAGATATTTTCTCTAAAGAATGTTTAATAAATCTCTATTCTTATTCAATAAATATATTTTTGGTACAAGTTTCTATCAGTGTCATCAAACATTACACATGAAATCAGATAGGATGTTTTCACATATACAATCAGTGACAGCGATCACTAGTTCACATATATATTTGTTGAAGGAAAAGCTGCAGACAGTTGCTAGAAAAAACAAATTTCAGGTGTAATATTGTTTTATAAACTTCACAATCATACAAATCTAATTTGCAATATTTGTCCTATAATCTAAGGTATACTCAAACATATGTAGTTATCATGATAACTAATCTGATGTATGCCACTTTCATGAGCAAAAGCATTAGCTCCCACAAGAGCCTTGTGTGGTTGTAACTGCAAACCAGAGTACTCTTCAACCTATAGGAAACGATAAATACGAAACAAACAATCAACAAGTGTCTTTAAAGGGGGGAAAAGAAACAACAAAATGTTAATCGTAGATACAAAACCATTTTGCTTGTCATATAAATGTGCCTTGTATTGATTCCAGTGTGGAGATTGTTGAAGATATGTCCTCCGCATTTCAGGGCCATCACAACCTTGAAAGAAAGCAAAATAAAAAATGAGTTTCCACATACAAACAAACAATAATCTTACACTACAAGGTCAAGAAATTATGAAAAATTGTAATTTAATTAAAAAAAACTATCAAGATCCACAATAAGGTCAAGAACTTGTTTAAATCATCATAATAAAATTTTGAAGAGACAATTTACATCATCACCATTCCCCTCACTAACTTGCATTATGAAATAAATACGACTTAGTGTATAAAACAAAAAAGTAGTGCAACGTTTCTTATATAGAGATTAATCACAGTAATGAAAGGTCCTGGCCAGAAGTTTACCCTAGTGCAAGAACTAGATCCATAAGTAGATCTGTGTCTTAAAGATCAATCTTGTGGATGTCAAAGGGGATGATTTGTTTAATCCAAGAGAGTTTGAGCCACATTCAATGGAAAGCCATCATATTCAACTGCTTGGTATATCTGTCTTCACAAAAGAATCACACATAAATTATTCATGCAATGTTCCAAATTACGAAGCAACGTATACTACAATCTTTGACATATGTAATTTTATCCAACACTTATGTACAACAGAATCACCAACATGTCACAAAGTAAAAGGTGTTGAATTTAAAAGGAGATTTTGAGCAAGCATGTGCAATCATTCAAACCTAATAATTGGTTGGATATGTAGATGACACTCACACTTCTCTCTTTCTTAAGAAATTCCTTATACTCAGACAAACCCATATCTACCACTGTCAAATGGTCACAATGCTTCCTGTGGCATTGAGTTATACTTTTTAGTTAAGGCACGAGACCTACGAGTTTCTAATATATGGTTTTAAAGCATCCAAGGAACAATGCACATAGAACTAATATGATGGTTGTTAGTAACATAAAACATATAATGTTGGCTATAATTTACCTGCAGAATCCTGCAATTGATAATGCATCAATGCGAGACTCAGTCCCTCTAGCCACCATAACATCTGCATCTCCAAATTGAATTATTCCCATTACATCACTAATAGAATGTGACCCAGTAGCACAAGCAGTGATTGTAGCATGATCTGGGCCCTGTATTCAAGAATAGGGAAATAATACAACTCATGATTAATAATGTCTGCAAGGGTCAGGATAGAAAATATCTAAATAGCTCTTCAACAAAAACCATAATCAACTTTAGTACCTTATTTTTAGATGCTTTTGTTGACATGTGTTAAAACTTATAGTTTTTCTGCAATCGTATCCCGTACTCACTAAACACTTTTATTCGTTGCAGTAGATCCCCATTTGGTTGTTCACCATTTTTCGCTAACATAACTGAGCATATGATAGTTACATCTGAAAGCACTGCTGCTGCTAGCTAAAGACTTAATTCTAAAATCTCTAGAACAACCTGCAAAACATAGGGGAGGCTTATTAACCTTGCTAATGAACAATGTCTTAAGTACAAAAGCATTGAAATTGTTGCTAGTTCTCTAAACAAAGAACTAATAAAGCTTATCACATGAAAACCAATTCATTACAAATATAAAATAAAATGAACAACACAAACCATACATCTCAAATGAACATGCAAGTAAACAAATGATAAACATTTTGAAATGAAAAAAACATAATAAAGTTAAACAAACTTTAAGGTTAACATAACAAAGCTAAAATTAAATAAACAATAACATTTCAATATTATTGACTAATTTTGTTGATTTTGAAGCAACGATTATGTTTGTTATAATTAATTTATCATCGACAACCTCTGCATTCCCATGCTGAAGTAAAAAAAACACAAGTAGCTGCAGAACTTCCTGTCACTAAGTGATTCATATGCAATTATAACTGAGAAATTAGTGCAATAAACTGCAACAATTTTCTGCACAGATGTCGGCAAAAGGCCATGTTTTTGCAGGGATAATAATTGGAGATTAATTTCAGAACACCATGAACTTGAAAAGAGATAATCTTACCAAACCCAATATGATATTCCTAGCTCTTAAAAAGTATATCAAGTGCAGGAGAATAAAAACTCAAAAACTGTTCCCGCAATATCTCATATAAGAGATTCAAACACTTCTAAGAATATTCAATCCACTCAGACCATTCGAATTTATGCCCAATCAAAGCAAGTACCTGAGAAATCGTGGAAGCAACCCACTGAGAGGTTCGGTTATCTATTTAAGAATGTTCATTTCCAACAAACCTCAAGCATTTGACTGTAGAATTGTTGAAAAACAAGAAAGTAAATCTAAAAGCCGATGAAACTACAACAGTGTTCCATGAGTTCCTTCCTGAAGTAAATCCTCCATATCCCCCTAAAACTTAGTAATCAAACTCAAATACATTGTTAAACTAACAACCCAATACTTATGAAATATCAAAAGACTATCCATAATAACCCTCCTATCCGATTTAACAAGGTTAGGCAATAAAGCCCAAACTAGACAAAGATCAACAACATCATGAATATGAGGCTGAAAACAGCTCGAAAACTTCAATTATATCAACATTATAACACCGAGAAGAGTATGAAGTAAAGCTAAAGAATTTATATCATCTTCTAGAAGCACTTGACACGCTTTGAGAATAGGTAAAGCGTAACTTTCAGTTCCACCTACATTGAAAAACTCGTGAAGACCTTGAAGCGTGAGTTTTGTAGCATCAACTGTAGTAGTAACATTGCTAAGTAACAATAACGCCCAACCGATGAAACGATCAACCAAAGTAACAAGTCATAGTTTTGTCTACCATTAGAAGGGAAAGGAATTGATAGATAACGATGCAGAGTTCAAGTTAATACAAGTTGAACAGAAAAATTATTCATACAACAGTAACACGCAACAAAGTAATACATCTAGAATAACATACAAATATAAGCAAATATGTACATGCTAACACACCATATCAAAACAAGATGAGCACACACAACATGCTCATCCAATGCAAGAATAGACTTCAAAATCCACTCAAACTCAACAAGTAACTGAAATAGAGCCGCCGATCCACTAAAAACCCCAAACCGAACAGAATTGTCAATCTGAATCAAACCTCCATTCGATATTAAGCATTGGCATTGATAGAATGAGTTACTTAAAACTAACCCCAAAAGGAACAGAGCATAACATAACACATAGGTAAATTGATTAAAAAAAACCTAAAACAAAAGATAGTTGTAAAGCAAGAGAGTGTGTAAAAATTAACTTATCTCTGTAGAAATGTTTGAGTTGAGCGACACCTTGAAGACCTTTCAGAACAAGTTTTCTAAAATTTCTAGGACCCACAGTGGCATTGTAAGAAATAGTTTACAGTTATACACAAGAGATGAATCGGTAGAGGTGATACACTAGAGATGAATGTTGAAAGTAATACACAAATGGTGAATCGTTGCAACAGTAGATAAAGTAGAAAGGGTTAGGTTAGGTTTTGGAAGAAGAATCAGACAGAAGAAAAGATAATTGATGGGTTTTTGATTATTTGAGAGGGAATGAATTGGGGGAACAAATTTTCCCTTTTCATTTACCACTCAATAAAAAAATTATTTTATAAAATAAAAAATTAACTAAAAAACATAATAAGGACGATTTTAAGATAACTGTCGTGAAAACCGTCGCAATCTAGTTTCTAACTGTCGTGACAACCATCGTAGTCTAAAAATAAGGACAATTTTGTGATAACTGTTGTAAAAAATCTGCGACAGTTGACCCTAATTGTCGTAACAACCGCTGCAATTTAAGAATAAGGACAGTTTTGTGATAACTGTCGCAACTCAAGTGTCATAAAACTCCTTTTTTCTTGTAGTGATTTGCATAAGTTGAAAATAAAACTTAGTGCCCTGATTTGTGCTGAAATCAGAATGCTTGTGGGGAGGTGGTTTCTTCAACTAGAACTGATCTGATTGATAACTTGTGAAGCAAGAAAATTGAGAATTTTGTTTTAGATTGATAACTTGTAAGTATGTCAAGCCGGGTGTGCATGACATCTTGCCTATCCAAGGAGTTATGATAACTTGTGTGGACGCATAAGGCTATTTGTCATATATGTTCTGGGTGGATGATTAGTTCAGGGTGTCAGGATGTATTCTCTAAGAGATATGGTATCTAGATCTGTACGAATCAGGATTGATTTTACAGTGGTTAAGTGAGTTCAGCAGGGGGATTTAAGTCCTTGTCCATGGATTGTTGTTGTAGTGGTTCAGTCTTTATATTGATTGGGGACCAAGCAGTTTGTGTATCTCTTAGGAGGTTGTGAGATGTCAGACTAGATATTCGGATACCATGTGCAGTTTGTCATCTGAAGTCTTGCTTTAAAGCATGGTGATTCTGATTTAATTTTTGGGTTTGGCTCTGATTGATGTGCATCTGAGTTTATATGTGTGTACATTTACTCCAATTTTTGTCAATTTTTGGCTAAAAAGGGGGTATTAAAGTGTATCAAAAGTATCTGTTGTCCTGATGATATGTCACATGTATTGACATGCTGACCAACATTGTGATAGGACTTGGTTACTGCTAAGGAAAGAGTAGTGTGTTGTTATTGCTTGCTGAATGCAACTATTAAGGGGGAGCATGATAGTTTGTGAGGCTGGATGTATTTGATAAAACTATTGTTGTTGCTGATTTATCATGGTATGGATGTTTTAGCCAAAATTTTCCAAATGGGGAGATTGTTAGTTCCATGATTCTATGATTGGCTAAATTTTGGTAAAACATGATTCTACACTGATGTTAAGTAAGATGTTATAACATCTTCATCAACTGTTATGACAATACTATTGTCATGTGTTTCAAACAAGATGTCGAGACAAATGTCATGACATCTTTGTCTAGTACAGCAGACACTGCTACTTTATATCTCTTGACAGTGGTGTATATTTTATAAGTATTTCTTTGCACAACTTCATTAATAATCGTCAAATTCCTAAGTTACAAAGCATACCTGCAAAACACTAAGGTTTCACTTTTGGTGCCCATGTTTTCTAGAGCCCAGGTGCATTAGTTCCAGGAGATCTAAGGTTGTTACCTTTTGATCTTTTCAATTTATCAAAACAAAAAGGTTCTAAGTGACATATTCTCTTACAGTGTGTGCACTTATAAATCGAGCGCTTATTGTCCTTATGATCTATACCTTTCCTAGATTTTTTATCCATTTTAAATCCTACTCCTTTTCTATTTAGGGAAGGTTTTTGACTCGATAAGATTAAGTTAAGATTTTCTTTTCCTTGGGTAAGCTTTCATAGGGTTTCACATGAATCAGTTACTTCTTTTACAAGGCAGTCACACCGTTTACATTCTCCTTTGAAATTTTTAAGCTTAGTTATTTCTATCTTAAAAGAATCATTTATTTCTTTGAGATGTCTTAGATATTCCTTAAGACCTAAGGTGCATTCTCTTAGTTTATCATTTTCTTCTACTAATTGACCACTTATCCTAAACAGTTGAGCATAAGACGGTTTGATACCTGGAATAGTATCTGCCTCGCAAGATTCCTTTTAAGCATATTTCATTTTTTTGTTGGAAGAAGATTCTTTCACATTTCTCACCGAGGTTGATATCTCTCGTCCTCTTCTTTTTTTGGGTATTGAAGAAACTTTTTTGTCTTCTTTGTTATTCCACGAACAAGAGTGTCCTTCATTAGTATAGGTGAATATTAAGGTAGGACTCCTTTGCACTTCATCACTTTCTCAGATGCTTTCTTTTGTAGACACTTACTTGAGTTTATATGAGATGATGCTTGAGTTTATATTCTATTTGGTTGCCATTATTAGATAGTAAAGTCCATCAAACTCTAATACTTAGGTTTGAATCTTTATTCATTTAATAAATTATGATTTACTTTGCTAGAAGGCATTAGAGTCATCATAAATCAGTTGTCATCATCAAAACTTCAACAAAAGATGTTGTCCTTGTTAAAAGAATATCACATGTAAAACAAGGTTGCCTACTAACCATTATTAGATTCAAGCTTTTCATCTATTAGATATGCTAAAGTCTAAACATAGATTTAGGTTGAATATTCGTATAGACTATTGAAACTTAATGTTATCATATTGGTTAATAGGCTGAGAGGTCGTCTATTATGTAATACGATTGATCACATTCTTGACTCAAATACGAGTTGCGATGAGTGCAACGAATAGTAATAATAGTCTATTAAAATTGCATATTATTGATCAAGGATATTACATAAGAGTAGGCTGATAAAATCTAACCCTAACAAATT